AAAAGCATATCTAAGCAGGCCAACTCCCAAGTTTTAGGAATCTTCCTAAAGCATTTCCTGAAATCCAACAATACACCAATCAGGAAAATTCCTTCAGGAATATTCATGAAACTGGGGACAGCAGCTGATTTCAAAATTCAGCTGCCTGTGGAAGCATCAAGCTTGAAGCTATAGCAAACAAAAAGGCTGGGTTGTAAATACCTTTGAAGAAATCACCTCCAGCCAGGCAGGGGGATGTTTGAGACTGCGGGAGGGAGATAGTGGCCAACTTACAAGGGGACAGCTAGGCCTGTTTATTGTTTTCCTAGGAAAGTTGCAGGTAGCATGAGGAAGCACATGACAAAACTCATTTGTTTAGTATCAGTTTTTCTTGGGGCCTCCATGAGGGAGATTTTCAGATACCTATTTTCATATTTAAAAGCCATTTTTCATTAATCAATACTTAAAACAAACAAAACAATATCTTAACAAAACTGTCATAAAAATTAATTACTTCACACTAGAATTTAATATAATATAGAAACAGAGAATCAACATCAGTGTCTCCCCTCTGGGGACCCATAGGAAACACTATATGAGAAGATATGTACTTCCTATATTCAGGTATCCAAGCCTTGGCTTCTGTCCTTCACCACTACAGACCATCTGATTGGTTACCAAGTAATGGTTGACAAGCCTACACTTTTCAGTGCTCTCTGATCTAATCCTTATCCAATTAGTGTAATGTATTTAACCAACATGCATTCCTGATGGCCTTTCTTCGAGAAACATTCCTTATCTCAGCTAACATGCACATTTTGCCTGAACACATCTGGTTTTCATGATATAAAATGAATACTGACCAGACGATGAGTTCTGCATTGTTCTGATAAGCAGTCAAGAAAATCTACAGGAGAATCTAGTGGTGGTATTTAGGAATCGGAGCTTCATTGCACTGATAAAGCAACAAGGTATTTTGGATTCCCAGTTTTCTATCAATGAACTTTAAAAAGTGTTGTGAGCTCATCTACCTGCTGCAGCATTGGATGTCATCCAAGAGGAAAATATTTAGACTTGTTGGTTTTTGTCATCAAAGGATAATTAATACCTATCTGAGATATATATGCTATTTTTGTCCTTACTAGCTGGACTTAGGAGATATATATCTTGTAGATCCAGTAATGATGTTTTAGGACTTGTGTAAGTCTACTGATGAACAGATGGTAAACTACTCTGCTCTTTTTGTAAAGCATTGAAGAACTTCTTACAATTACGTAATTATCCTTCAATAATCCCATGCCTGGTAATTAGCCCACCCACGTATATCGTAGTTCTTGTAGAAATGTCAACAGAAACAATATCAATCTTGTCCCTGTAATAAACCCACCTTCTGACCTTGAGTGATAGGAAATGTGCTGATCTCATGCAATCCTAAGCCCCATTCTTGGAGTAATTAACAAACCCATAATATTACGGGTTTGTAGAAATAATCATGAAAGATGTATAATCGTTCTGTATTAAGCTCAAGGTCATCTCCCTATCTTGAGTTAATGTGTTGGCCTCCTGGTCTTTACAATACAATGATTAAGACTGTATCTGTACATACTATTGTGAAGTACTTCCATCCTTACTTTATACAATCAACAATCTTAATATATCATCGACAGCCAACATACTGTCAGACACATTGTATAATGATAGGCGAGAGCTTTAAGGGAACTTCATTGCAAATTTCATCTAAGTCAGCAAAGAAATATTCTAACGATGACAAAAGGTTATATCTACCACTAGTCTATCATGTATTTCCGTGTTTATTCTTAAGAAATATAATCAGGGGAGTGATAATGAAAATTTTACAAATAGTTTGAATATCTGAAATTTGATACTCCGGGCTATAGACTTCAGTAATAAATATGGTAATATGTAAATGGAGTTATCAGGATGGTGGAGATCTGATCTTAACGTTTCAAATTCTTTTATGAAAAAAAGATAACTTCAACATCATTATATCTTCCCCCATTCATAACAATTTATACAGATTCTGTCAAATGTATACTTTGAAAAGGTTTCAGATGTTTGATGTTTAAATGTATGTAATGCCAACAAATAATAGCTTTTATTTAAATTGTACAACAAAATTGTGAGTTATGTCTTGAAATATGAGACATTTTACTCCCTCTACTGTTTATATTTTTACAAAAACTGATAGTATCATTTGGTTAAAAATCTTAAACTCTACAAGTTTCACAATTTTTAAACTTTCACTTACAATATTCTCTTTGTACATAGTCCTAAGGCCAAACAATTTACATGACGAGACAGAATTTGTAAGGTAATTTGATATTCCTGCATGACAAAATTACTTTTTAAGTCAGAAAAAAAGAATAAATGATTAACAGAGTAAAAAATAGACTAATTCAATAAATAAAGTTTTAATAAAGAATCTTCTAACAATGATAAGTCAAACAGTTATTATTTTTACTAAAATGACTAATTATGTATTCCCTAAGGTTCATAAACAGGTATCTTGGTTGATTAAAATTAAACTTGTAACTACCTGATGCTGTAACATCATATTTACATCCAGTTTATTTTTAGATCCTAATATTCTTCCCATCTACTACCAAGTTCTTGCTTCAGTTGCAACTAAAACAATATTTGTGCCTGTATATACAACTAGGACAATTTAAAATTATCTTTTTTTCCCTGTGTTATCGAACTTGACATCAAGTTGGAAAATCAGAAGTCTAATTTTAGCAAAACTGTTGAAATCAGCATTCATTTTTACTTACTAGAAATATCCCAGACTATTTTTTTTGCGTTCTGGTTGGTTTATTTAAATCATCACTTTTGGCTTCGCTTTCAATCAAGTCAGCTGAACTGTTTAAGCTTAATCAAGATTGATGTAGCATTTCTAACTATCCTGTTTCACATGACTGGCGTCACATTTGTACACTCTTGAGCCAACATGGAGAGATGTTTGAAAAAATTATCAAGTCAGTCTGATTTACCCAGAGTAGTGGTGGGTACCTGTACAGACCCAAAAGCCGCTAATGTACCTGAATTAATGGAATGTACCTTTAAAGACCATTGTCTCTGATGTACTACTCTGAGTAGAAGGTACCTGTATAGACCCTTGGTCATGTGTACCTTGATAAGTGGTGGGTACCAGTAAAGACCCTCGATCATGTGTACCATAAGTGGTGGATATTACTGAAGTCCCTCCATCATGTGTACCTTGACTAGTGGTGGATACCAGTAAAAACCCTCCATTGTGTGTACCTGGATTAATGGTGGGTACCAGTAAAGACCCTCAGTTGTATGTACCTTGATTGGTGGTGGGTACCAGTAAAGACCCTCAGTCATATGTACCTTGATTAGCATTGGGTACCAGTAAAGACCCTCAGTCATATGTATCTTGATTAGCGTCGGGTACCAGTAAAGACCCTCAGTCATATGTATCTTGATTAGCGTCGGGTACCAGTAAAGACCCTCAGTCATATGTACCTTGATTAGTGATGAAGGGTGTACTGACAATTGTATCTGCATCAGGCTGTAACACATAATATGTCTCTCCCACAAATTCTCACACACACACCAACTCTGCTGCAATAATGATGATAATATCTACATTTCTATACAAATTGTTAGATAATAAAACAACACTTAGGGTCTGCAGTGATTTTGTCACTTTAAAGCTACTTCATTCATTGACTCACATCGTTTTAAAAAGCTTGAACATATGAAAATATACCAACAACCTTTACACCAGACATAACTCTCCTGTGTTATTGCTACAAACACATAAAATTCACTTGCTTTTTCTACTCCTTGTTCTCATAAAATTCAGAAATAAATTCTAGCTATCTAGGAACAATGCACATCTTATAGGCAAGGCTGCAAATATATGTTGTTAGTATGATAGCATAGCTGTTTCTGCAAAATAAAGGTGAAAACAAGATCACTGATGAATGAGGGTGGGTCATTATCTAATATCAACTTTGTTCCCATCATGATTTATTGATAGAAATATGGAAATATTTAAAGAGTTCTTAACGGAGAGAAAGTCAATCTGATATTAGCCAGTAAAAAGCCAATTTCAATTCTTGTTGTTAAAGCCTTGGTCAACTATTGACCAATCAGCATGCCTGTAGTCATAAAAAAAAACTCATTTTCTACAGCACACAACAGTGGAAATAATCTTTTATGGGAATTAAACTCGCAACTGTTGACCATACAAGTTTCCTATCTTTTGCTTTCCTGTTCTTAAATCATCTCATCCATTCATTATAATTTACTTTCCAGCAAAATAAAGTACATACATATATATGTATTTATGAACATATTTAACTATATACATAATGTTACAGGAAAAATACTTCTTTTATTTCAGTTTTGTCTCTCTCCAAAAGCCTAGAAATAGCTCTTTTCATATTTCTTCTTTTTCATTTATCTATTTTTTTACTAATATATATTAATGTATATAACAGAGACTAAAAAGAACTGATTTTCTATGAGATATTCTATCTGTCTTTCAGTTTTTACGCTCACTGGATTATTCAACTGCGGCACATATAGATAAAAGAGAGCTTTCATTCTTGATTTTTTAAAAACGTTTTAATTGTGGCTGAAACGTCACAAAATTCATATTATGTGAATATGTAGAGGTTAGTTAATGAGATAAAATGAGATTACCTATCCGTTTGAGAGGAATACTGCATACCAAAGAGGTACGTCATGGCAAAGTGTTATAGGAGTGACAATAAAATAAAATATGTAAAAATCAACATTTTTTTACGTAAGAATTTGCATTTACTTTCATGACAATCTCATGAGGATACCGTGTTTGAGTGCTGAAATAAGATTATTTGTTAAACAACCCAAAAAAAAAAAAAAAAAAGTTTCAACAAATCCAGAAAACACATCTTCAAAGATTCATTAACAATCACTTTGCACAAACTTGATTACATGCATCTAGAATTTGAAACGACAATAAGATAGTTGATTGGACGAGTACTCACTCATTTTCCTCCTGCTTGCGCCTACGGGCTGCACGAGCTGCACGTCTTTCTTCTAAAGAACTCATGGTGATATGTGAATGTTAGAAGTAGTCCCTAAATCGAAAAAGAAAGCCCTGAAATGTAGAAAAGAGAAATTTATGTAGAACTATCATTACTTTTAAATACAATATAGCAACATAGTTTCATTTTCACTGAAATTTATATACCACTTGTGTACAATAAATTCTCGATTTCTTAACTATAGAAAGTCAAGATTAAGATATTTGGTTTATTTATTAATCAATTTATTTATTTCATTTTTTATGCAAGTGCGATGGAAAATGAAAATACTTGAGTGTACATGACATCCTACCAGAAGAAAATATTGTTTCCAATGGAACAAGGTCTGCTACCTATAGTCAATATTTCCTTCTAAATAAGATAACTAATTGACATTTTTCATGCGAGGATAAACAGCGTCCTTGACTTTAAACCTTAAGTGAAACACAAACTCATCTCAAGTCCTCTTGTTCTAACTTGACCTTCATAAAGATGATCGTATAGAGACATGAAAATCTTTTTTTTTTTTGCAAGCTATGAAAGGTTATTTTGATATTTGCGACTTACAGAACAATTAGAAACTGAATGTTTTATTCAGGATGGCAGACAATTATAAGTACTAATTTTAGAAGCAGATCATTAGTGGATAAGGTTTCATTTATACAACGACTTGAAGTAAAATTTGAAACAACAAGATTTGACTGTACAAACACCATTGGGTCACATCATACAATATTACACGTTCAAAAACAATATAACAAACATGGGCTTTGTACTTTGGATAACAGCAGCACCAGATGATGGCACAATGAACCTCTATGATACAGCTACTGTTACACACAGAGGCAAGTTTGTCTGCCTGTTTTTATTTCCACTTTTCATGCTCATTAATACATAGGCACAACTGCTTCAATAATACCGCCAATGTGCATAAGACTTGTAGTCATAGCAACTAAACTTGTATGTTATGTGGTATGATGAGCCTTATCCTGTTTTGGCGGTGAGAGACTTGCTGTTTTTCCCAACTTGGTTATTAAACCATCAGAGGTAACCTTTAAACCGGTAGACTTTTTTCAACAGCAATATATGCATCATAAAGCATGTTTACCATTAAGGTGTTCTATTTCTTTGGACTTTCAAATATCTGCCAAATTTTTCTTATTTCTGTCAAGTGCGATAATTTAGTCAAACACATGTCTTACCAGAGCCGCAGTGCATATATACCATAAACTTACAATTACTTGTACGGTACCAGTAACTGACCTTGGAGGGGAGATATGACAGGGAATTGTTTACACTGGTTATGGACAATTAATGTAGGGCCCTGTGGCTGGGAGTGTGCCTCCATCATCAGCACACAGGGAGCAGTCCTCCCCCTGCTGGGTAGCAGATTGACTCAATTATTCCTAGAGTAAATAATACCTCCTATGCTCCATGCATATAAAGATTCTGCATGATTAGGAACACCAATCTGTGTCACAAGAACACTTCATTTCTGTTCACTATTTATGACTGCAAAAAAAGCTTCATACTCCATTTTTTGCATTGCACCCCTTAAAACAGGTCAACATTTTGCAAAATTTGTCCATGAAATCACAGACTTGAAGACTGAATTTTTCTATGCTAAGACCTGATTCACTAAAATCTCCAGATATTTCCCGTCCCCTCCCCCAATATGGATGTCAGTTTATGGATATACACCAAAAACCATATACCATACTTATTTTTTTGTAACTTAGGGTGTCAACTTATAATTTTTTTTACTTAAAGTGATTAATAGTGTAGGGTAAGTTTTAGGATAATAAAACAATAATTAATTTGTATAGAAAAGTAAGACTTGAATGGAATTATTGCTAAGCAATGGCCTATTGATGAATTAAGGCAGTAAATGAAACACATGAATATTTTTTCTGTATTAGAGGAGTCATCACCCTATAAAATCCAGTACAATGAAGGAATGATATGTGAAGTGTAGAGGAAACAGATCTCTACAACCTATATCTGTCATTCACCATATCTCATACAGACATAACAGCCGCGGTATGTCGTAATATGACACACTGTATCCAATATGAAATATGCCTGCACTATAGTCCCTATGATGCTGTTGAAAGACTTGGTAGTTTTATAGATAAAAAACAATTTCAAGAGATCTTCACTAGGGCTGAACACCAACACTTTAACATTTTTGATATTTATTGTTAGTGGATAAGGCTTTGAATAAAGTTTTATTTCAGGATGCCAAAATTTTAGACAGCTTTATAATGATCTACAGGTATTTTACTAATTATAGGGCAAGGAAGGTAGATCATCTTCATCTCAACATTAACATCTAAGAGCACACTCAAATATGTAAAATCTGAAATGTTTCAGTCTTTAATTCTTAAAAAAAAAAGAAAGAGGGAGCTTACAGCCACTGCACTATAGTATACCTCATTATATGGTAAAGAGGGAGCTCACAAACAATGCCTCATTATAAGGTATAGAGGAAGCTCACAAACACTACCTCATAATATGGTATAGAGGAAGCTCACAAACAATGCCTCATTATATGGTATAGAGGGAGCTCACAAGCACTACCTCATTATATGGTAAAGAGGGAGCTCACAAACAATGCCTCATTATAAGGTATAGAGGAAGCTCACAAACACTACCTCATAATATGGTATAGAGGAAGCTCACAAACAATGCCTCATTATATGGTATAGAGGGAGCTCACAAGCACTACCTCATTATATGGTAAAGAGGGAGCTCACAAACAATGCCTCATTATAAGGTATAGAGGAAGCTCACAAACACTACCTCATAATATGGTATAGAGGAAGCTCACAAACAATGCCTCATTATATGGTATAGAGGGAGCTCACAAGCACTACCTCATAATATGGTATAGAGGGAGCTCACAAACAATGCCTCATAATATGGTAAAGAGGGAGCTCACAAACACTACCTCATTATATGGTAAAGAGGGAGCTCACAAACAATGCCTCATTATAAGGTATAGAGGAAGCTCACAAACACTACCTCATAATATGGTATAGAGGAAGCTCACAAACAATGCCTCATTATATGGTATAGAGGGAGCTCACAAGCACTACCTCATTATATGGTAAAGAGGGAGCTCACAAACAATGCCTCATTATAAGGTATAGAGGAAGCTCACAAACACTACCTCATAATATGGTATAGAGGAAGCTCACAAACAATGCCTCATTATATGGTATAGAGGGAGCTCACAAGCACTACCTCATTATATGGTAAAGAGGGAGCTCACAAACAATGCCTCATTATAAGGTATAGAGGAAGCTCACAAACACTACCTCATAATATGGTATAGAGGAAGCTCACAAACAATGCCTCATTATATGGTATAGAGGGAGCTCACAAGCACTACCTCATAATATGGTATAGAGGGAGCTCACAAACAATGCCTCATAATATGGTAAAGAGGGAGCTCACAAACACTACCTCATTATATGGTAAAGAGGGAGCTCACAAACAATGCCTCATTATAAGGTATAGAGGAAGCTCACAAACACTACCTCATAATATGGTATAGAGGAAGCTCACAAACAATGCCTCATTATATGGTATAGAGGGAGCTCACAAGCACTACCTCATTATATGGTAAAGAGGGAGCTCACAAACAATGCCTCATTATAAGGTATAGAGGAAGCTCACAAACACTACCTCATAATATGGTATAGAGGAAGCTCACAAACAATGCCTCATTATATGGTATAGAGGGAGCTCACAAGCACTACCTCATAATATGGTATAGAGGGAGCTCACAAACAATGCCTCATAATATGGTAAAGAGGGAGCTCACAAACACTACCTCATTATATGGTATAGGGGGAGCTCACAAACAATGCCTCATAATATGGTTTAGAGGGAGCTCACAAACAATACCTCATAATATGGTATAGAGGAAGCTCACAAACACTACCTCATTATATGGCATAGAGGGAGCTCACAAACACTACCTCATAATATGGTACAGAGGGAGCTCACAAACACTACCTCATAATATGGTATAGAGGGAGCTCACAAACAATGCTTAATTATATGGTATAGGGGAAGCTCACAAACATTGCCCTATATCATGGTGTTGTCTGTGGTGTGGTGCTTTGCTGGTGGAGTGTGATGTATAGAGTTGGATGGAACATTATAATCATGATGCTAGTCTGGCATATGTACATTTTTCTCTGTGCAGACCTACAGACAGTCCTGAAGATAGTGCCAACCTGTGATATAACAGCTGTACAGGATAATTACCAACACACAGAAGATTCTTCATTACACAAACTGTGTCAACTTAGAGACAGATACAGAGTTGTCTCCCTGTATCTGATAAGTTGCCTGAGTGATAAGCTACCGAAAAACATCTGTTGACATGATAACTACAGTAGGAGCCTAATGATGAAGACCAATGCGAGGTACTTGTATTTATAACATCACTGCTGATGCATCAAACAAATCATAAAGTAGTGTAGGTAGTGATGACCTTTGACCCTGTGGAGCTGGTGCCAGCTTTGTAATGTACAGATACATAGTTGTCATAGTAGTAGTGTTTTGTAGACTGGTGATAATTGACCAAGCTCATTCCCAGAGCATTAGGGTAGTCATATAGCAACTTTCTACTGGAAAAATGGTTAGCCCTTACAGGTCAGGAAAAACGATGGAGGAATGACATGTTTATCAGTCATAATGTTGCTAAAGAAGTGATGATTTACACACCCAAGTTTTTACATCATCTATTCTCAATAAGTCCTTACAATTTCCAAAACGGGTAAATACGTATGAAAACTTGACTACAAAGCTTATGAAATGATATCCTGATGAATCTATTGTCAATGATGATAGATCATATTATAGACTTGGATGACGAATCAGGAAGGTTGTGCATGCAAACCTAATGAAATGTGAATCCTTTCTATATGAAAAAATAGGCTAATTATCATAAAAATATAAAAACCCGGGAATAATTTGTATCCTTATGGCATCATATTTTAAATTTCCACAA